AGGGAAGGAGAGATGGGAAGGAAACTCCTGCAGCTAACAGTATGGGTGGAATGGTGTGAGCGATATTTGCTGACCATAGCCAAGCTCTGGGTGAGATGAGGAAGAACTGAGGGTGTTATTCAAACCATATTTGGGGATTCTAAACTTTTTCCTTCATTCCCCAGATGATTTTTGTGTCAGTCCTCACATGTGCGGGTGCATCTCAGAAGCCTTCTTTCCTCGCAGACCTGGAGACTGGGCACCCACAGCTCTTCCCCTTGTTCCAGCCGGGCGATCAGCTCAGGTTTGGGAATGGGAAATCCTGTGCAGAGGGTGAAATCAGACCAGATCAGGGTGCATGGAGCATTGGTGGAGTATTTGTAACAAAGGACATTCTGTGAGTGGAACGTTTCCCTGTGCTCTGATGGAGGAACGTGGAATCCAAGAGGATGGGAACATGGTCACTGAGTCCCCTCGCACAGAGGAAGTTGTCTGTGGAGGTGAGCTGAATTATTACTACACCCTCAATAGGCGTTCCCAGGATCTGTGTGCTCTGGGGGCCTTGCTGACTCACAAACAGCTCTGCACTTAAACCCCTGCCTCTTTCTAAACCCGCAGACCCCGGGGCCTTCCCCATCACTGGAGCTATTCCCAATGAGGGAGGTGAACAGGGATTGTGTGTGCAGCCGAGAAACAACACAGACAGGACAACGCTGGATTTATGCCCCTTTGAAAGCTGGAGGGGTGGGGATGGTTTAACTTGTCCATTGGGTTTTGGCACCCATGTCCCACTGGAGAGGGCACGGAGATGCAAGTCTCTCTCACATGGCAGCTGTGCATTATGGAACTCACTCACCTCTGATCTAACTGACCTGGGAAGAACCTGACCAGATTCAGATACGCAGACCCCACGGCTTCTAATAACTGAAGGGACGGGAATCCCTTACCCAGCGAGGTCACCATCTCGTAGTTCTCCTGCATGACGTCCCTGTAGAGGGCTCTCTGAGCGGGGTCCAGCAGAGCCCCCTGTCCCTGGGTGAAATACACAGCCACCTCCTCGAAGGTCACCGGCATCTGAAACAACAAGAGTCCCCCACTCAGAAACCTGTTGCCCCAGCCTCAATCCCACTACTCATGGGAAAGGAAAAAAAACATGAAGCTCTGGGAGGGCCAGAGTAGCAGAATCCCACCAACACCCTGCTTAGAGCAGCCAGGAGGCTTCAGGGTGTGGGAAAAGGTGAGAGCTCCTTGTCCCTCCCAGCACACGGAGCACGGCCGGGACTTCTCATTTCCCACATGCCTATCAGACACAGGTTGATACGGGAAGCCGAGCTCTGAGCCGGAGACAGGGACAGGAATCCCAACAGCTTCTCTTCGTATTTCACAGCAGCCTCAGGCTAGTGGGTTCAGGCTCCAGCACTGGGAGTCTGGAAAATGTTCCCAGCCCTGCCGAGGGGGTTATATCCTGTTTGAGAAATGGGGGAAGGTCCCATCTCCCCTCCCCCACCACCAATGGGCCTACTC